AAAAAATGCTTCTAAACGTATGTATTTCCTAATACAATTGAAAAGGGCCAATGTCGCAATGCATGAATTAATTCTTTTTTATACATCTTGTATGAGGTCAGTCATGACCTACGCCTCGGAAGAGACAAGGGACTTCCGCTATTCACATGTCACACGTCTATCAAAACTGTCAACGCGCGAACGGACTCGCCTGGACAGCATGAATGAAAAATCAAAACATTGATGAACATTAGTTTTTTAAAAACTCATCGGGATTCTAGGATTTTACACAGCAGAACAGCTAAAAAAACCTGGCAGATAATGTGAAGGAAAAGAATTTTTAAGTGACAGCCGTCGAAATTACTGTGAATTTGGCTTTTCGGTGCAGTTATAAAAGTAAGAACAACGGAGAAAAACTATTACCTCGGTCGCTTGTTATGAAGTTGTTTGAAGCCACAGCTGGTTTTGCTGAACGACAAAAGAAGCTATACTGCCGCCTCGATTGCTCTAGTGAATGGCTGCATAGCCTGTATTTGTAGCTGGTTACTTGTGATTTATATTCTTGATGTCGGATAAACAAGCCGCAGTTATCTATCGGCGAGTGACTCGATCGGCGAATGGCTTCGCGATCATGAAGAAACAACACTTGTGTTCTTTCGTAGCTGGTCAAGGTACTTTTAATTAGTTACATGTGTTTTCATGTGTTTTTCGACAAACTTTCAAACAAGCTCTTGTGGCTTTTTTGTTTGTTTTTGTCTTTTTTCTTGCGATGAAATTGCATTTCTAGTATTCTAAAAAATGAATTAAAACGATTTGCTTCGGGCGCCGTTCTATCCTTCGCGAAAAAAAATCTCAGCTAGCTTCCAATTTTAAACTGACGCGTACACCGACCATATATGGAGAGCATGGTATAATAGCTCATATACCATAACGGCTAAGCCAATCAAAATGCTAGAATTGCATTATCCAATGATTCAGTTTGTAATAATATATATTATATTGTAAATACACAATTCAGCTTAGTAGCGGCAAGCTTTTTACAAATAAACTATCTGTCTATCTATCTATCTATCTATCCGTTCCTCCCTCCTAGTCTAATAACGTAACAAAAAAATAAAATCTTACCTCCTATCACTCCATCGACTAATTCCGCCACTATTAGGGATACTGTGGGTACTCCTAGAAGATAACACACAGACATATATAATTATGTAATGTTGAAATGTAATTTTGTTAGTCCGATAGCGTGATAGACAAAATCTTACCTGCTCCCCCCATGATCCTGGTAAGGGCGACACTATACTTTCTGCTTCAGGCGAGTATCTAGGATAGATACCGACCGATTTCCTAAACGAGCGCAGAAGGTGCACGCTTCTACGGGGTCCTGGGGCACACTCCCCTCGGAACGTTTTTAGATTTTTAACCCCTTAGTCC